CTCATTAAGTTCTACTACATTCTTAATTTAAATACTCAGAAATGAATCATAAACTAGTCATAAAATGTATGTTTTTGTATAATTAACGTAGACAACTGTATAATTTGCTTTTTTTATTTCAAGGTGTTTTCTCAAAAGTCGTCTCAAGCCCGGGGATGTACGAGACCAAAGTGGGAAGTGTGGCGATAGAGGTGGTGTCCGGAGACATAACCAAGGAAACCAGTGATGTCATTGTCAACTCCTCCAATGAAAACTTCTCACTTAAGTCAGGTGAACGGCAGTGAGGACTGGAATCATTTACACATTTAGATCCGGCTTCATTTTTAAGATTTGAAATTGTCAAATGTTTATATCCGAAGCAGACACAGTGTTTAATGACATTTAGTGATCATCGTTATATATTTGCTATCTGTCTCTCCCCATCCAGGAGTATCCAAGGCTGTTCTGGAAGCAGCCGGTCCGACTGTGGAGGCTGAATGTCTGAGTCTTGGTAAAAAAACAAAACAAAAACACAAAACAACATCTGTACAATGTTATTTTTTTGGACAGATGGTTTTAATTAGTGCTGGGCATTGATTAATATTGACATTTATTTTCTGCAATTAATAAAAGTGAAACAAAAAAATGTTTTGTAATCACATCAAACAAAAACAGAATGATGGTGTTTACATCATTCAAGTGATACATCAGATTCTGGCCGTCGGAAAAAAAGTTTGGTTCAAGTAACTTCGCCATCTGGAACATATTTTAAGTTGAAAAATATTGAAGATGTAGAGCTTCATTTATGGCGCTCTACTCTTACATGAACTCCGTTCCGGTTCATGTAAGAGCTGCAGCAATCTTAGATGCATGTCTCAGATACCAGACCCAAACCAGTACTGGTTCAGAAACCTGTACGTATGCTGTATCTCATCACAGGGGCACAAGTCAACACTGGCCTAATAATGACGCAGCCAGGAAACCTCAAGTGTCAGAAGATCCTCCACGTGGTGGGACAGAGGGACCCAGTAAAGGTCAACAAAATTGTTGACGATGCTCTACAGATGTGTTTGAAAGACTCCTACAGATCAGTCTCATTTCCTGCCATTGGTACAGGTGAGATTCTCCAGTTCAGTCCTGTATCATTCTACGTTTATCCATGGAGAACTTTATTGCGTTATACCTCGCCTCCGCAGAAGAAGTGAGATATACACACTAGGTCAAACCTTGTCCACCGTATAAATAACTTAATAAAGAAGGGATCCATGGATCCCATAATCGTAATTCTTCTACTCAGCACACACACTCCAGCCAAGTACCCAAAACCCTCTGTGAGTCACAGATCGTTATTGTGTTTTTATCTGGATGAAAATGAGTAACTGTGCTACATCCCTTCAGGCCAGGGGAACGTACAGGCCAAGCTGGTGGCTGATGCCATGTTTGATGCAGTCTCCAACGTGTTGAGCCAAAACCCGGCTGGCTCCCTGAACAAAATTCGGTTCGTTATTTTCCAGCAACCGATGCTGAAGGACTTCCACAACAGCATGGTTGAAAGGGAACAAAAACAGGCCACAAAACCTAAGGACACGGCTGAAAAAGAAAAAGAAACATACTCGATTTGGGAACGATTCATATGTAAGTACAGTTCCAGGTTCAATCTTTTCTAGATGAGGTTATTGTAACTCTGAAATTCTATAATGGATTTCTGGATATGTGGTTTCAGCACTTTTTGGTGGTGGAAGTTCTACCAAACAAACGACAAGAGAAGCTCTTGTGACCGTGGAGGCCGAACCAACTCACTTCCACATCTGTGGTGATTCACAGGCTAAAGTGGATTTAGCCAAGACGTGGATCAACGATCTGATAAACAAGGAACAACACTCCAACACTATTTCAGACCTAGCCATCGCCGACTTTTCAAATGCGGATCAACGGATTCTGGTTGACCTCCAGATCAAGCTGGGCGTGCGCATAATCTTGGACAACACAACTCAACCAACTTTAAAAATTGAGGGTTTCAGCAAAGATGTGCTACAAGTCACTGCCACAATTTATCAAATGCTAAAAAAGGTGAAGGAGGAGGAGGAGCTGAAGAGAGATGAGGAAATGGCCCAAACCGTCGCAGAGTGGCAGTACCAGCAGCTGCAGCTTCAGTTCCAGAGTTTTGATTCACACAACAACTTCCTCCTTGAGCGGGCATTCCAAAGAAGGCTACCAAATGTAGACATTACAGTCCAGCAGTGCACCTACACGGTCACCATGCCAGACGGACCAGCCACTGACAGCCAGGGAAATGTTCTGCAGATAAAGAGAATCGACAAACTCAAAGGTAGGAAACTAAAAAAAAAGACAAACAACCGCTACCCACGCACCGCTAACATATACATTTACACACAAGCACGTGCATAAAAAACAAACGAATGCCAATTGCCAGGTATCACTATTTGAGTTAATAAGTTGCCACTTCAATAGAGTTAGGTCAGATAAAAAGTTTTTCCAAAACAAAAAATGCACAAGGAAAATTTACTGATCCTTATAAAACCTTCAGTGAACAGCGTGGCCACTACTGGTCTATGGAGCCAGGTCGGACCCATCAACCAGTCCCTATGACAAAAAAAAGTTGGGGACCGCTGGTCTAGGGTATAACCATCCACTGGTCCGATGACTGCTGGGTTTGGCTCCAGTCTAATGAAGTGGTAGAAGACGGAAGAATTAATTAAAATTGTCACTTTATTTTTTTTCTCCCTTGATTTCATTTCTTAGATGTAAAGTTCATGTTGCCACAAAAAAACAAAACGTTTGTTTCTGTACTAGGTGAAGAAGTACCTGATCACTGGGCTCCTATGCCGGCCACCAGTTCCTGTCATTCTGTCACCATTGAAGCTGGATCCAAGGAATACACAGACGTTTTGACTCTATTCCAGGCCTCGTGCAAACGTAACATCATCAAGGTAGAGTTAGCGACCGTTATTTTTATTTGCATCCTAGTTTCCGCCTGTTGTTATGGAAAACCGTGGGTCATGAGGCCGATAACATCTTCACCGATCTTTAGATCGAGAGAATCCAGAACCCAGTGCTGTGGAAGAGCCTGCTGCTCAAGAAGCGTGACATGGAGCAGAGGAACGGTCATCAAAACAACGAGAGACAACTCTTTCACGGCACCACCCACGACATCATCAAAACCGTCAATGAACACGGCTTCAACAGGAGCTACGCAGGAAAGAACGGTGAGAGCCATAATATTGATTGATAATTATATAATAATTAGAATTTTAATTTAAACAAAAATAAAATTGAGCGAGCCCCATGTACCACCAGTGGTTTGTGTACCAAACGCATACAATTTCTCACAAATAAACTAATTTTCTACTATCATTTTCTGTCAATTTTTTTTTTAGCCGCTTGCTACGGAAACGGCACATACTTTGCCGTTAATGCATCGTACTCTGCCAATGACACGTACTCCAAGCCCAATCAGAATGGAGAGAAGTGCATGTACCTGTGCCGGGTGCTAACAGGTGACTTTACGGTCGGAAAGGCGAACATGATCACTCCGCCCGCCAAGAGCTCCAGCTCTGTGCAGATGTACGACAGCGTGGTGGACAACGTAGCCACGCCTAGCATGTTCGTAATCTTCCACGATACACAGGCCTGTCCTGAGTATTTGATTACGTTCAAGTGATCTTTAACCACTGTTGTGGAAATTCATTACTAAACATTTTGCACTGGAGCCGGTGATTCATCAAGTCTAAAAGGCTGCTGTGATGATTCTATTTCCTTTTAAGACTGGGTGAAAATATATAGAAAAGAATGAATTAACATTGAGGAGAACAGTTATTACAACTGTTATATATCTTTAAATGTGTCGCATAAGTAACAAAAAATAAAATAAGGATTAGTTGGTATCGACAGATGAATTTCTTGCACATCTCTGTTTATGTTTTGAAGCGCTAATTAATGTGTTCTAACGAAACTAAAAAATAAAATCTGTTGTACACACAATGTGTTGAGTCTTGTATTATGTTTTATTCATATCCAGAGGCTATATTTGGTGTTGAGCAGGCACGAAAAAACTGCTGAGTACACGATATACACGGTACACTGCGATATACTCTCGTGTTGTACATACATTAAAATGGCAGAATTTCAGGAGAAGCAACAAACAAACGGTTGTACTTTGCATTTAACCCAATCACAAACCCCGCCAGTGATTAAAATGACTCTGGGGAAATTACTGTATCATATTACGATACGTTTTTATCTTAAAAAAGCATCTGTGTTTCAATTCCATAATTATAATGTTAGAAATATCTTATTAAAAGAAAATCTAATCCCTGTAGCATTAACGCCGGTGATGTGTTGCAATGTCGCCCTCTTGTGGTAGACATTTGTCACTGACTCAGGGTAACGTCAGACTGTCTCCAGCCCCAACGTATATTGGATTGATAGATACATACTACGGAGCCCCTAAAGGGACATGCGAGAAAATAATAATAATAAACCAGAAACGTTCGCCATGTCCCTGTAGAAGCTCCGTTAGAGATACTGATGAACACCATGTTGAAACCCAGAGAAAAATGGGAACACAGGTCACTCAGACTCGGACTTTTCAATATAAACGTATACAGTACGTTCTTCTTCATGACCAAGAAGACGATGGAGAAATCGACGGGAAAGACACGAAGACCGAGGGGACAAAAAATACGAAGAAAAAGATTATAAAACATGAAGAAGACGAGGAGCAGAAACTGAAAAAAACAAACAAACAAACAAAAACCAAGATGGAAAAAGAATAAGGAAACTATGATCATGACGGTAAAATAATAAGGAAACTATGATCATAAAGAAGGCGAGGAGGAAGAAAAAAAACCGCGAAGATGAGAAAAGAAGACGACGAAGAAGAAAAACCAAAGTTGCTGATAATATACGGACTTGGCAACCATTCATTTATTTAATATTGCACCCGTTTCTGCATAGGTCATTAATGTTTACTTTGTTTTTGACGTGTTATTTTTAATTTTTTTGATTAAGATCGTGTTATAACTACTATAGCTATAATTATTATTATGTATATATATATTATTAATTATTCGGGTGAATTTATCTTTTTGATAGGTGACAATTCCTACCTGTAGGTGTGTCTACCTGCGTGTTTCAAACACGGAAGTTTAGATTTTTCTGCTCACACACACACACGCACACACTCCCACAGAGGGAGGGTAGAGGGGGAGAGATTACTCGCTGACTTAAATCTGACTCGTCACTAATCGCCGTCAAACTTTTTTTTTTTTTTCGGAGACTTTCCGGGTCTCATCCGGACTCCGACCGAGATGTCGTCCGCCGGACAGATGTATCCAGACGGGCTGGCGGGGTCGGCAGGCCCCGGGGAGAGCCTGTCGATCCACGGCAGCTCAGAGAAGTTGAGTCCCTCCAACGTCAACCGCATCCTGATGGAGTTTCTGTTCTACATCGGCAGGGCCGTGCTGTGCTTCTACCCCGTGTATCTGACGGGCTACCTGGGCCTCAGTGTCAGCTGGGTCCTGCTCGTCATGTTGATGCTGACCTGGTGGGGGAAGAACCGTCAGTGGAAGGACGCCCGGATCGGGGGCGCGCTGGACTTCGTGGACAACGAGAAGGTGGTGATCAACAAGGAGCTGCAGAGTGCTCTGCAGATGGCATCATGGGTAAGTCAACAGGGGGCACCCGGCTGCACGGCAGTGCAGTACACCTGGAGTGTTGACGGGGGAAACGACACATATTTTTTACAAAACTCTGAAACAGTTCCTCGGTAAAGAAGCAGCGTCAACATTCACTGTATTTGCATGACATACCAAAACGGGGCGGAACCAGGTCTGGTTTGTCAAGAGTGTTTCTCTGTTATTGTGCAGGAGATTTCCCTCTGCTCTTTTGATTTCACCACACCCACTGCAACAGTGACTCACCAGGGGTGTTCAACCTGTGGTTCGTTAGCCTTTAGGGTCCCTGTGAGATCATTATTTAACATTGGTCAGCGGACCAAAACGAACCTGACTGGACTTGATGTATAAAAAACATTCATGGTCGACGAATCAAATCAACAAATCAACGTAACCAGACATAAAGGACCAGGCTGTAAAACCTGAAGAAAAAAAACCAAACCCAAATGTAAACAAACTTTACACGACAGTAAATATTCATCCTGTGAATCAACCTAATGTCACGGAGGTTTCAGTTTTTGTAATTCTATTTGGTAAAATTATATAAATTATACATAATTTATATTATAACAAAAATTCTAAATATTAAAAAACAAATGTATTCTTGATGCCCCCCCCCCTTCTGTTTCTTTATTAGGTCCATTTTCCAGATGTTGAGAAAGTGGACTGGCTCAACAAGGTACAGTACAACAGATTTTTTTTTTGTGTTTTACTGCACAGATTTTGTTTATTATAAATAATGAGTATCAAATTTTTTTTTTTACTGCACATATTTTGTTTATTATAAATAATGAGTATCTTAACTGCACATATTTTTTTTTATTATAAATAATGAGTATCTTTATTTTCTTTTTACATACACAGTGGTCTGTGTACTGTAATACCATTAACTACCATCAGGTCAGTTTTAGATTTGACCAGACCCCTCTAACTATGACTTTGGCTGTGATGCTATGAGGCTAACGCTAAATTGATCATCAATTAGAAGCTAATTTTAGGAGCTCGTAGGTAATTCTTTAAGTAATGACATAATATTACACGGCTGATATCGTTTACACTGCTCCACCGTTGTCACCTGTGCAGGTGCTGGACCAGGCCTGGCCTTTCTTTGGGATGTACATGGAAAAATTCCTCAAAGAAAATATCCAGCCGTCCATCAGACTCTCCAACGCGGCCCTCAGAATGTTTAGTTTCACCAAGGTCCACTTTGGACACATAGTAAGTTCAGTTTCCACGGTTTCTTTCTGTCTGTCACAGCCAACGATTGACATCTAGGGAAAACTGAATCAGAGGTAAACGAGAAGTCGCCTGATGAATGGGTGTGTTCCTGAACCTCTGATATGGAGGAATGTCACACAAACTATGGGGAAACCAAAGGTATTTGGTCATACGTAGGAATGTCACATAAACTATGGGGAAACCAAAGGTATTTGGTCACATATTTTGTACAGAACTACTTGCCTGGTTAAGTTACCTGATAAAATATTCAGTTTCCATGTTCAGAAATGATTTCATTCATTCTTAACATTTTAACTCGATTTTCTTAAAAATTCAATTTTTGCCTCTGAACGTTTTTCGTTTCATGTTGTGAAATTTAATTTATACAATACAATATCGGCTTATGGGATGTCGGAAAAATCTTAATATCGGACAATGAAATGTCCCGGCTCTAGTTTAAATATGGCATCTAGTGTCCAGCGGTGTGCTTTTATCTTCATAAATATCACGACACGTGTCCAGCGGTGTGCTTTTATCTTCAGAACAGAAAGTGTCTGTGACTTGTTAAAAACGTCTCCATCTCCAGCCCCCAAAGATCACCGGAATTAGAGCCTACACTGATGAAGTGGACCAGAGGGAGGTGGTTCTGGACATGGACATATGGTCAGTGAAGAACTCGTAACTTCACCGCTGAGATGTTGCACCTCAGTCGTTGGCTTCTTTGTTCCAACAACCCCTGACAGACGGACCAGAATTTTACAATAAAATATTGTCGTTGTTTTCCCTCCACAGCTATGAAGGTGACGTGGACATCGATACTGTGGTGAAGCCTCCGGTCACAGCAGGGGTCAAAGGCCTTAAGGTCAGTGTCATCCTGTGTTTTTGTTGTGTTTTGTTTTTCACACATTTGTTGTCAGCCAGTTGGGTAAAAAAATATCCATACACTGAATTATCGCAGTGGTATCGCAGTATATCGTAGTATACCGTATCACTGCCCCTGTATCGCGATACGTATTGCTGTATCACCAGATTCTTACCGATACACAGCCTTGTTGTCAACGTCAAACTTCATGTGTTTGTTTGTCTGCTTTCAGCTGAAGGGGATGATCAGAGTCATTCTGGAACCTCTCATTGGTGATGTCCCTCTGGTGGGAGGAGTCACCTTCTTTTTTATTCGTCGTCCAGTAAGTGTTCACTGCCTCACTGTGAAATATAAAGGCACAACATTATTAGTTTCAAATTGTAAAAACGTCTTCTTTCAGACTTTACAAATTAACTGGACGGGGATGACCAACCTGCTGGACACTCCGGCCTTCAGGTTGTTTACACCCTCGGTTGTTGTTGTCATTCCCTCTGTTCTAATGTTACTAACCTGATGTTCGGATGGAACAGCATTGCACACGATGACTTTGCTCATTTTCTCTCCTCCTCTCTTCTGGTCCAGCTCCTTGTCCGAGGAGACCATCGTAGACATCATCGCCTCACTCATGGTGCTGCCCAACCGCATGTGCATCCCCCTCATAGACCAGGTCAAAGTGGACCAGATGAGATTCCCACTGCCCCGGGTATGTAAGACGGAGACTTTATAACATTACTGTGAATGGAGGTGAGCGGTACAGTGGGAAGGCGGTTAGTGCACTTGCCTTACAGCACCAGGATCAACGTGTGAGTGTGAACTTTGGTCTGGTACTCTGGTGTCTAAGGTCGAGTGTTCACACTAACTCGACCACAGGTGTGAATACTAGCGTGAATGGATGTTTGTCTTTAATTGTGAAGAATCAGATTTAAGTGATAGATAAAAGTAGTCAATGTTCTTCAGAGTACCAGCAAGTAGTTTCTGCTCCTCCTCAGGGTGTGGTCAGGGTCCACCTGCTGGAGGCCAAAAACCTGGTGGCCAAAGACACCTACATGTTGGGTATGATCAAAGGCAAATCCGACCCTTACTCTACGCTCCGAGTCGGCAACAATCATTTCAAAAGCAAGACCATCAAAGAGGAATTGAACCCAAAATGGAATGAAGTGTTTGAGGTGAAGTAACACACACACGTACCGTCGCTGCCATGTGACAATCTAAACTTTAAACTTCAGTATATTTTTGTCTTCAATCGAAGAACGAAACTGCAACTTAACCTGTGTACAGTTTGTCATCCACGAGGCCCCGGGCCAGGAGCTGGAGCTGGAGATATTTGATGAGGACACAGATAAAGACGACTTCATCGGAAAGTAGGAAATACTTTGAATACTCAAAGGCACAGTAGTATGAACAACCTAATTAGCTTCTCTCGGCATCATCTTTTTTTTCTCTTCTTGTTGATCATAATCAAGACGAAGTAGTCACCAGTCGACGGCCTAATCGTTAGTAGTAGTTTAGCTAAAAAAAACACAGATCTGCAGATAAATCCTAGAGGAGGGAGGTGTTAGCTGAGTTAGCTAGGCCTAGCGTAGGTAAATGCTACATGCTACCACTGCGCTACTGCTCTGCCAGTCAGTCAAAGTGAAATATTTTTTATGCAAATTCTTGGACAATCAGATTAAGAGCAGTCAAATATATTATTTGATTGACAGCTGACCTTTGATGACCTTTCTTCATTAGATACAGCCTTGACTTTGGCGTGGTAAAGAAAGAGAAAGAGATAGACAAGGTGAGTTTCACACTGTAGCTACACCTTAAATCACCACGTACGGTGAGGCTGACGACTGTCTCTGTCACTGATGCAGTGGTTCACTCTGGAGGACGTCCAGCATGGAGAGGTTCACCTCAAACTCCAGTGGCTTTCCCTCAAAACCGACGCCAGTCTGCTGAGTCAGGTACCGTAGCCTCGCCGCTACATTAGCACTCAGACCCGCACGTCCGCTCACCGCCGTTCAAACCACGTGACTAACTGGACTTTTCCCTCTCCCACCTCACCGTGTCCCAGTCGTCAAATGGACTAGCCTGTGCGATGCTTGCAGTCTATCTGGAGTCTGCGTCCAACATACCAGTGAGTGGGATTCAACAGGGACAGTGTTGCAGTAAGGACGACCCGTCGCAGGTGAACTAATAACGGTGGTGTTTGTCTCTGTGTCCAGAAAGACCACAGTGAGATCACTGACAACCAGAAACATGGGAAACACCACAAGGAGGCGCGGGTAAGACGCCAACTGACCGTCTGTAGCCTGAGCAGGAGCCGGTTGTAGTCAGGATACAGTGTTCCCTCTCTATATCGCGGTTCTCCTTCCGCTGCCATCAGTACATCGCAGATTTTTTTTCTTAATCTGATCTCGCAAATTTTACACTATATCGCTAATTATGGTAAAATATAAACTAAAAGACTGATCTGATCTTGCAAATTTTACACTATATCGTGAATTATAGTCAAATATAAACTAAAAGACAAATGATTATCGCAAATTTTACGCTATATCGCAAATTATGGTAAAATATAAACTAAAAGACAAATGATTATACGTATGAAAGTTTTGGCTTTGAAATTGTGGCGATAAGCGCATTAGCGAATGATCGCTGGTAGCTTTGTTTTCCTAGACGAGATCATACACAGCATACTATTGGCTGATTGAGCGTGCTCTTCTGTTCTGTTCACGCTGATTGGCTCATGCATCGCAGCATCTTTCAGCGTCTCTTAGCTAACAGTTAGCATTATCATTTTTCTAACCTCCCAAGTCAGCACAGTGTGTTCACGACCACATTAACGAAAGTCGTACGTAGTCATTCTTTTATCAGGTTGTGAAACTAAAGGTTTAACAAATTCTTTAACGTTTGTTTAAACTGAAAACAAAACAAAGATGGGCGGAGAACCCTCAACCTTCTCATGTTTCCAAATAAGAGTCACTGGAGTCTCCGTGTCCTGATAAATTTTCAGGACAGGTTTATGAAAACACACCTAACATTCTTGACCTTTTACCCTGATGTCATCAGTTTACTACAATTTACTACATGTTTATTACATGTAGTAAATTCCAAACCTTGGTAATTTTTTTTAAATATCTAAGAAAATGATTTGCTAAAAAAAAAAAAAAAAAAAACAGAAGAAGAAGAAACAACCTTGTGTTTCTTCTAAAAACCTGCCAGCTGTGGTTTCACCTGTGTACCACCAGGGGTACACATACCCACATTTGAGAACAGATTTTTTTAATGACTGCGTTTTATGACTTTTTATACTGGACCTCGGATATTATAAAATGAAAAAGAAAGAGAAAGAACAGTTTTTGTTTTATTTAGATACTACAAATATAATAAAAAAAAATCTCTCTCTCTTTGAGGCCTAAAATAAATAAATATACAGGGAGTTTTTTTCCCGCCTGTGCTAATGCTAACAGGCGATTGTTAGCGTGTTTCTCGTCCTGTTGGCCAGAGGCTTCAGTCGATCAGATACTTGTCTTGTGGCTGCAGGTGTTTGTCCTCCTTCACAGCTGGTCTTTCCTGCTCGTCTGGTGCGTGTCTTTCATGTCAGAGTGGGTGTGTGGCTGAGGCTGGTTTACAGACAAACCACAGACTAAACCAACGTCTTCTCTGTGGTTGCGTGTAATTAAAAAGGGAAACATTTGTTGTTGTTGTTTTAGTTTTTTTAAACTTTGAATTAGTTCTACTATTACTCACGTGGTTGGTTTACAGATAAATGAAGATGATGTCATCCAGTAAACAAGTTCAGCTTTGTTTAGATTGGCTCAGTGTGGCCGAAAAGGAAACATGGATTTTCTACGCCCTCTGCTGACTAGTGTCTCAAATTACACTCTTAAAAAATGAGAAAAAGGCCGGTTATTAAAAAAAAGAATCGCGTTTATTATTAATATCAATATTAATATTAACAACAATAATATATTTTATAATTTTTAATTATAATTTGTATTATATTTATTTATAGATAATTCACTTTTTTTTATTTTGTTAATTTAGTACTCAAACACAACAATATTTTTTTAACCACAGATAATAATTATGTGTCTTACATATTTTTTACTCACAATATACTGTTTATTTATTGACTTTTTGTGGAGTTTCTTTCAGCTGTATCTATTAGTTAGGTTTTTTTTTTAAATTGTCGGACTCTGCCTTGATTTCAGCTCACCAGGAGAACTCCTGATCCCAACTCCTACGTGGAGTTCTCCATTGATAAGGAAGTTCGAAAAAGCAAGGTACCATCTACATCATTGTTGTACTCTTCCCTATTCACACTGCTGTGCAAAAGTTAAAGGCATGTTGACGGTAAATATAAACACTCAGCTAACCCACAGTGATGTAGTCTCAGAACCAGTCCACTCCCTCCACAGGTGGTGTACGCGACTAAAGATCCAGTGTGGGAGGAAGGCTTCACCTTCTTCGTCCATGATGTGAAAACACAGCAGCTCAACCTCCAGGTTGGTGTCTGTTCACATCACTGACAGATTTAGTTACACATTTAAAATGTAAATTAAAAAAAAAAAAAATTTAGTACTCAGCTTTAGTGAGATGCTAGTTGGATGTATAGAATTATTTTGTTTTATTTTTTTTTAATTTTTATTTCCTTTGCTTCCCTTTTTGTTTATATTTAAAACTCTTTTTTTTTTCATTTTTGTCACCAGAAAGCTCATTGCTCTGCTTTTATCACTGACACTGAGGAATAATAGGATGAATGCACTTTAACGCTCCACTCTGTTTGATTTGATTTATTCTGCTGTGAGCCTGTGCAGTCGCAGCTGTTCAAACACGACTCAGCCTCGTGCTGCAGAATCCTGAAGACTTCAAACCACAGCGACGCTGGTCGTCTGTCATTTAGCCACAGGAAATAAAAACATTATTATTTTTTTTTTTTCTCTGTAAATCTTGTCGTTCAGCTGAAAGAACCGGAGAAGAAAAACCCCCTGGGCGTTCTGACGTTGCCCCTCAGTCGCCTCCTCGACACCTCCGACATGACTCTGGATCAGCGCTTCCTGCTGGAGCGCTCTGGAGCAAACAGCCAGATTAAACTGAAGGCCACTCTCAGGGTGAGCACATGGCTTTATGGCTTCATGGATCATTTTTATGTGTTTCGGGATGGATGGTGGTGCAGATGTGGAGGAAGGGGCATCGGGGCAGGGAAAACATAATCTGTCTGTGAGGACAACCTGTAAAAAAAAAAAGAAAAACTAAAAACCTATTTTTTCCTTGGTTGAACAGAGTTGGTCGTTGGGATCACTGGAGCTAATGTTTTACTTGGGTAAAAATAATTTAGCTTCTGGCCACACCATGGAAGAGTGGTTAGTGCTTTTGCCTTACAGTAAGGAATGAATCCTCGCAGACATTTTAATGGACCACAGGAGATGCAGTGTGTCATCTGAAGGGCTGCGACCCTCTATTTGTTTTTGTTTTTTTAATTTTTTTGAGGTTGACACAGTGGGAGCAGTAGTTGCCTTACACCAAGAATGTCACCGTTCCAAAAGTTTTGTATATCGCCTTAGTTATTTTTATTTTAAGTATTTATATTCATATTTGTTTTTCATTTTTATCTCTAAGTGAGGTAAATATTTGCTAGATCCAAACTTTAACATTAGCAATCATTAATTAATTTTTTTTTAACCCTTGACCCTTTCGTCAATCCCACATTAGATTCTCTCCCTGGAGAAACCTGCCCCTAAGATCGACCTCAGTCCTCCTCCTCAAGTCAAACAGAATCAACCGCAGACCAACACAGGAAGTAATGGATTACCTCCGTCTGCTACGTCACCTGCCGCCAACACTAACCCCAGCTCCAAGGCTACACCTCCTAACACATTCCCAGACTCCCAGAACGGCACCCAGGCAGATTTCCTGGCCCACCGTCGCAGCTCCTTCTTGGCGTCCGAAGCCTTGAGGAACAAACCCACCACCGTGAGCATGCGTCGCTACGACTCCCACAGTTTACTGTCGGAGAACTCCATCGCCTCCTCACGCTTGGACGTCTCAGATGGGGTGTCATATCCAGAGTGAGTAAAAACAGCTCCACGATCGTCACGTCTTTTTCAGACCTGAGTCTGACGTCTGACGTCCGCTCACCCGTCTGTTAATTCACAGGGCCCTGAAGAAGTATCAGGGTTCCCTGGGAGAGATCCACCTGACGGTGCGGTACGCCACTCTGAGGAACAAACTCATCGTCCTGGTCAACGCGTGCAGGTACGCAGCAGAGACACCATGAAAGGCTAGGGGTGTGTGTTGGCAACAATCTGCCGATACAATACGTATCACGATACGATGTATTGCGATAAACAGTACTGCGATTCAATATGCATGACAATATTATATATATATTATTTTTTGTCATGCCCCCCCTTGGGGACAGAAATGTTTTCACACCCGCCCCCCACACCCCTGACCCACAACCCGGCAAAATGAAATACTATTGAGAACCTGATAACATGTATATCTTTTATCTGTACAAACCACTGTATGAGTTGCTGCCACCTAGTGACTGGAGGCTTGTTATCGTTCAACCATTACATCAGTTGTACACTTCCATCCCATCACGCCCCCCCCAGGCACCTCACCACGCCCCCCCCAGGGGGTTCCGCCCCATTATTTGAGAACTACTGGTTTAAATCACTCACCAAAAAAATCACGTTGAGTTTTTCCGTGGTTCAATAACACATTTGTTTCTGCCTGAGTTCTGTCCAAAGACCAACGTACAGACCTGTCCTCTACAGGAACCTGTTCCCGTGCAGTAGCAACGGCACGGATTCCTACGTCCGCCTGTATTTACTCCCTGACCAAAGCTGGAGACACCGCAAGAGGACGCACGTGAAGAGGAGAACGATCAATCCTGTCTTTAACGACAAGTAAGACAACGTTCTGATGGTTGACCTCATTTTGTAGAAAAAAAAAAATTTTATTCATTTTTTATTCCTGCTCAATCCCAGATTTGAGTTCATTGTGTCCCTGGAGGAGGCACAAAGGAGGAAGTTGGACGTGTCGGTGAAAAACAGCAGAATGTTCCACACACGGGAGAGGAAGGACATTGGCATGGTACTGGATGGAACTGTTGGTGGTTTGTGTTGATGTCTCAACGTTCTCTGTGATTGATGTTGCTAACGTGTGGTTCTCCACAGGTGATAATAGAACTTTCACAGATGGATCTGACCAAGGGCACCACAGAATGGTACAGTGCAGTACTGCACCTTTCTTGGCTGTCGTATGTGTTTTGTTCCATTCATATCTGTGTTTATATTTCTCTTCTCTTTTCTGTCGATCTTCTAACAGGTATGAGCTCACGCTGCCTGGACTGAAGAAGTCCAACTAGGAAGTGGAATCAACCGGCCGGTGAAGCAGCAAAACAGAAGTCCTAGTCCTAGCCCTAATTCATATTCAGGGAACAAAATCCATTGTTATTTTTCTTGCAGCTCTGTTTTCATTTTTTTTGGGAGCAGGGTCAGGAGGTCATCAGGGCAAGTTTTTAATACGCCACTGTAAATATCCAGTCTCCTGTTGTTTATGTTACATAAGCGGTCGTCTACACGTTCACTGCTTCTGTTCAAATCTCCACTGAACTTTATTTAAGAACATTGTTTAAAACTACTGTTCTCATTTACGAATCAATACCTAGATTTTATTTGGCGTTGTCAGCTCCTAATGTTTTCACATCGTTTTAAACTGAAGTCACTGCTGAAGGATCCAGTAGGAAGTTTGTTTAGGACTTTTTTTTTTTTCATTTTAATTTTTCAATAATGCAAACAGATGTGATATATTAAATTTAGGGATGTCCGATATTAACTTTTTGCCGATATCCAATATGGCGATATTATCCAAGCACTTAATTTCCGATTGCGATATCAACCGATACCGATATAGGCCTGGTAATATTTATTTATTTATCTGTACAAACCACTGTATGAGTACGAGATTAATTAAATAAGCTCCAATGCTGCCATTTAGTGACTTTTACATTAATATACAGCCGTTTATGACCAAAACTATTTATAGGGCGCACATCATTTGGCGACTAAAATTATTTATAGGGCGCACATCATTTGGCTAAACCCATCATTGCGTTATTGGGTTTTCATTATCGAAAGGGAAAAATCTATAAGGATCCTTAGAGATATTACATAATATGCTAATATAGGCCGATAATATCTGCCGGCTGATATTATCGGACATCCCTAATTAAGTTACAAAACCCTAATTAGTCACTGTAGAACTTTTCATCTCACGCTTTTACCAATGTTATTACATATCGCTCTAAATTCTAAACCTGATGTTTGCACGCATTTGTATTTTGTTCAAAATGTTACAACACGATTACTTTGCCAAATGTTTTTTTTTTTTTTCATTCAAACCACATTAAGTTGGTGTTTCAGAATGAATGGCAGATGACACTGGTCAGTTCTGCCCAGTTACTGAGTTTTGGTATTTGGTTACAGACTCACGTCCATCTGTTATGTCATAAAATGACTTTGAAAACAGTGTAATTCTCCGTAAATGAGAAAATAATGTGATGTTAGTTTAAAAAACACACATTTAACATGGTACACATGCTCATGAGGTGTACTACTGTTAAAATACTTTTGTATCTCTTATTCCAAGCCACACAGATTAAAATTACAACATGAAACATTAATTTGTCACTGGAAGGAATGTATAAAAACAGGTTGAATTACCTAAATTGACACAAAATGAATGTAAAGGTTTGCATTTTTATTCTATTTGCTAATAAATATATTTAAGCAATGGCGTGTTGGATTAATAACTGTGGAGAGGGCGGGAGAAATATCTGTCCATATCAGCCAATCAGAGCTCTGCTTACATTCCACGCTCTTTCGCTGCGTTAGTTAACTATAGTTCTTGACTTGTTTTTCTTTTTACCATTTTATTCTCACTCATTTACAATTTTAATTCTACGATTTAACGATTTGGGGGGAATTTATTACTTTATTCTCATAAATTAACGACTGTTTGATTCTGTTTACAACATTTCGCCGGTAATTTTATGACGATCGTATAAATATATATGTACCTTTATTTACCATAATTACTATACTTTCCCTCCGTAATATTGCGACTTTATTCTTGTAAAACTAAATTCGTAGTCGTAATCTTAATTAATTTGTTTGATTTAGTAATTAACAAAGTTCTCCAGCCGACCGTGTGCGACCCTTATTGTTGTCCCCGCCTCCACACTTGTCACTGGTTCCACCTCTGTGCTGTACAAACAATTACCGAACAGACGTTAAAAATCCATAGTTCATATGTACCCACCGAGTTTATCACAGGGAAAAACAAGTACAACAAACAGTAAGTACAAAATATATATATATAGAAAAAAGTTTAAAGTTAATTGAACTCAGTTGTAGCCGTTGCGTCCTTAGCAACCAGCAACACAGAGAAGAAAAGACCGTCGTACAAAGTTTCTAGAAGAATCAGCATGATTTCAGCCAAGACGACGGAAAAACCTCAAGGTTTGACAAACGATTTACCGCCAAAGGTAGCTATAGTTATGCAGCTGAGCGTCTAATGTGACTTTTTAAAAATGTTTTTAATCTGATCAAATGTGATTTAACATTACAATGTAAACTTTTTTTAAAAAATGTTTAATCTAGTCAAATGTGATTTAACATTACAATGTAATGTTTGATACCAGTCTAGAGAGAAATGGATGGAAGACAAAACGTTTTCACCGAGTCTTCACCTGAGACAGAAACACCGTGAAAATGGAGGATTGGAAAGTGAGTAACACCAGACAACATATCTTATCTTTAAAATACTATTACTACTAATAATAATAAAGTACCACTACTTGTACTGTAACTATTAGTTATAATAATTCACGTTATTATTATTATAATAATTATTATTAATTCAGGGTATGAGCTGACAAATACAAGTCACGGTCGGAGCCCTAGCAGAAAGACGTTGCCTTTTCCTGGTTCCCCCAAACACAACTACAGTCCCAGCACGGCTCTGATGAAGCAGAGGAACTTCCGCAAAAATGTGGTGGATTTCATCTGGTGAGTTGCCTCGCCATGAAATATCAGATTCATATAATTTATCAGCACTGTGGTTTCCAAAGTGGGGGGCGGGGAGCCATTGTGGGAGCACGGGAAGACCAATACATTTGCTGATTTGCTCTACTTTTTCTCTGTCTCTCAGTCAGCAGAAAGAAGAGGAGACGAAGAGCGAATCTACGTGTGGCTTTTCTGATTTAACTGCACAAAGTGAACGTGAAATGGTACATATTTGTATACATCATCCTCATTATTACTATTATTATCATTACTATTATTATTATTGTCTAAAAATGTTGTCCTCTTCTCTCAGAAATATAACTACTACATTGAGCATGGCATTGACCTGAAGAACGTGCCTCCTCTGGAGGTCACGTGGGTGGAGAATGTCCTACGACGGCTCCCGCCCCACCTGAGAAATCTGAGCTCAGCTCTGGAGCTGCTGATTAGTGAAATTCACAAGGACTATCTGCTCAGCGTCAAGACAGCCATATGTATTTATTTAAAACTTTTTTTAAAATTTTTGCAGTCGCTGCGTACTTTTAGGAGCGTGTATTAAACAATGTTTTTTTTTTTTTTTTTTTTTTTGGTTGATTGCAGTGAAATATACATTCAGAAGTAAACAAGAAAGTTACAGGGACAAAATACCCGATCTGCCCGCTCACAGACTTGAGTGAGTAAATGATAGTCGTAGAATGACAAATCTGATACAATATATCATAAAATAAAACCTGTGATTTTTTTATTTTTTTTACTGTCAGGTTGACAGTGTATCCCAAACCGTGGAAGGAAGAATTTATTCGTGCACAAAAGAAGATTAAAGTAAACCTTCACTCCATCAGTCCTCCTGCGCTGCAGCTGCTGTCACTGTGGCACGACTCCTACAAGTGAGGACGTCAGATATGAATATATGACTGTGTGAAGAGATAAGATAAATAGTGTTTATTGGTAAAGATCTGGTGATACAATACGACATATTGCAATATACTGTGATAGTATAGGTACAGACGATATATTGAGGGTTCCCCCCCCCCCCAGTGTAACTACAGTCCCAGTGTGATCCTAGTCTCAGACTCTGTTCCATCTTAACATCAGTTACTAACACTGGAACAGAGGGATCTACATTTGGAATCACTAGAGAAGAAAGAAAAGAAAAAGAAAATGAACCAACGCCAGGAATATTGGACTGGGAATTGGTGATAAAAAAAATCAATAACTGATGGAGGAGGAGAATGATATGGGATCAGGAAAGGAAATATCGCAATATTTCAATCAATATGTATCAAAGACCGTCAGAAACCAAAAAAATTGTATTAAAAACCAGTGGTGTCACCTTTAGCACTGTGGCTGTGATTATCGATGTTTTAAGGTTGGTTTTTGTACACAGCCATCCTACAGTGATACTGCACAACAATAATACTGTGCTGTTTTATAGGAACGTACGCCTGATAGACACACAGGAACTGGTCGACAGAGAAGAGTCCATGGAGTTACGTTTGTTCCAGAAAACTGTCAACAGACATGTGGAAAGTGCCAAAAGAATCCTGCACAAGACGTGAGTCCCTTTTTTTAAAAAAAAAAAATCATTTGATAATGGTGCATTCTTAATACCATTTCGCTGAATATGAGTGACATTTGTGGACCTTTGTCACAGGTGGATTCCTGAAGTGCTCAACATTTACAGCCAGGGATCCAGACGTAAGCTGCTGCCTCCTCCTAGCAACATGGCTAAGCTGTCGTCCTACTTCAACAGTGCAGCCACACTGATGACCACCCAGCTGCAGAGTCTGGCCCTGCACTCTTTAAGAGACTACACAGATCTGATCCACTCCTCCCAGGTTGATGAAGCAGTGAATCGTCCGAGCAGAATAAATGAACAGAAGTCACGTCTATTCTTACTTTGGTTTTGTATTTTTTGTCTGTTTTACATCATCGTAGCAGTCGGGCCGAGACAGGGGTCAGCCGCTCTTCACGCTGCATCTTGTCCTGGAGGACGCAGAGATGAGGTTTGAGCCCGACCTGCATCTGTACGAAGAGGCCCTGGTCAACGCCTACGACTTAATGCTCCGATCTGTCAGCGCAGTGCCTCGTGTGGAGACTTTGCTTTACCCTGAAGAGGTGAGACAAAGAGACATGAGAAGTCCAGTCAAGATATTTCCCTTTTTTACATCTTCATCCTTTTTGCAAGATTTAGTTTCAGTCGATTAGTGAACCACTTCCTGTGTGCTAAAGTTAGCCGTATGCTAATGTTGATTATTGACTTATTAAGATTAGGCAGATTTTGTTGCTACAATGAAAAGGGTTGATGTGTTGACCTAACTTAACTAAACAGTTAATTATCTGGTTTAGGTAATCTCGTGTGCATGATTGTAGTTCTGCCAGCAGGTGGCAGGCTTTAACCGTTACTGAAATGGTTTACTACTGTTACTACTACCAAGGATTCTTCATGTGTATAAAAAGTCCTCCCAGCTCTTGCAGTAATGTTTGGTTTTGTTTTGTTTTTTTTTTAATTTTAAGATAGAAAAGGGTTGTAGGAAATTTCAACCCTCCTCCAACAGATGGCGTCTTAGATGAGGGCTATGTGATCTAAGCCTGGCTGTAATGGTTTTCTTTTTTTCCTCTTTCTTGTTTCTTGTTTCTTCTATTTTTTTTTTTCAAAGCCACTTTTCCAGGGTGAAAAAACACTGACGCCCACCGTTCTGCCAGAGATTGTTGAGGCCCAGAAGGAGGAGCTGCGTCAGGTGTTCAGGAGCGAGTGTGTCTGGCCCAGACAGTTGGTCCAGGAGTTGGCCACACAGTTTGCCACGCTGGTATCCAGGCAGGCGGAGAAAGACCTGGATCGGTTCCTCGGTGAGCAGCACTCCTTTCAGGAGATGAAGCTGAAGGTGGAAGACCTCCAGCAGCTGGCCCAGCAGATCCAGTACTCCTTAAAAGAGGTAGTACTTCAACAACCCGTGTAGTACTTTTACAGTGTATCATGTTTATTGGGCAGACGTTG